ATATATATCAAAAATTGTTAAATAAGTAGGATCTGGGAAATAAATTTGAAAAAAAAAATATTGATTTAGTAGCAACCTTATGAAGTTCTTCATTGAAATATTTGATGGTTATATAGATTTTGAGTAAAATGTTTAACGTTGTCAATCATTTCTTCTGGGTTAATATGTATATAAATACTTCTGATTATAATTACCAGTTTTCTTCTTCGGACAGCCATTTACTGGATCACACATTTCTGCTGGACAGTTACACTGTGACTGACAGAATCTCCCATAATAACCTTTATGGCATTTTTCTGTGCAGTTTTTCCCATAAGTACCCAGTGGACATTCTGAAACAAGCATGTCACCATGAACAGGGGCCTAAACAACCACGAATAAAGGAAATATGCTTGAACAAATTTAAATATCAACAGATTATTACATTTAAAATTATTGCTACAGAGTGGATTTTTTTTTTAACAAATTGATTTTAACATTCCATTGTAAAACTTAAATTCCCTAATGAGGCGTTAACCTGCACACAACAGCTTCAATTTACATGAGTTGGAATACTTATAGATGAAATGATGTTCAAAAAAATACTGTATAAATGGCAATTTTCGCACCCGTTCCAATTGCGTCCCTATTACCCATTTTGCAAGTGGGTGAATTTAAAACAGGGCGAATTCAAGAAAGACAGCATTTACTCCCAGACAAAATTGTGTCCTGATGAATATAAAACGGGAAAATTGTTTGCAAAGGTGAAAGGGCAATACTAACACGGGAGGAAAATAACCCTGTTTACAATAGGTCGAAGATGGAAGTTTTAAAGTTTTGTAATACTCTCAGTGATTTTTTCTCATCTGATAACCATACCCTAAAAGGAACCCCCTCTCTCAACAAATTTTGATCTGCACTTCATGTCAATTTCTGCATACCAATAAGAAAAACTGGTTCGGTTTTCCTTAAAAAGAATTTTTTCACATGTTATGTCATTACCAAGTAAAAATTAAGTATTCCTATTTTAAAAAAAAGTGTAAAAAGCACTGGCTGTTCAGTGAAGCCTTAGGTAGTGGAACGAGGTCTGTTAAAGCAATAAGAGCTGCAACTTGGATGTCGGATACATATTTATCATAATAGCATATTTTAACAGCATACTAAAATTCTCAAAATTTCTGCTCATATTGCTTAAAAGAAAACTTAGGATTAATTAAGGCATTGGTTAGACGTGGCTGACGAAGGTTTTCCTTTCCTATTGTACATATCAGCTAAACTTAAATAAAGTAACCTTACTTATAAAAAGTACTTATAATACCAGCAGTCAAGAAGAAATTGGCGTAATTGAGAGTACTAAATGGAGCCCTGGTGATTGAAACCTCTAATTATAATTGATTGCTCTTACTTTTTGCCCTAGACAAAGTTTTAAATGATTTCTATTATTTCCTATTCAGGTGTGTATAAAATGATAAACTGCATCATAGATTAAATGTTACCTCGATAAAAATTATTTTTGATATTCTTATGAATTATGATGTAAACAAAAATAGAAGTAGGTTTTGCTCACCAAGACAATCCCCCTGCGTAGTTTGGTAAAAACTGAGACAGCACCTGTAAACATTTCAAATAAAACTTCAACAAAACGATTTTATTTTAACTGATTATTTTTTATCACATACAATTAATCTAGAATAAACATTTTCAAAAGCCATCAATAACAAACCTGTCTCCACAAAATTTACTAGAAGCAGTTTTTGTAAAGATGTGTATGAAAATTAAATGACACAATCTCCTGATTTTTGTCATTTTCATTTTGATTAGAATATCAAAATCGTTTATATTTGAGATCCTTGTCTAGACTTAAATATACATAACTAACACGTTCTATTTTCCTGATTTTTCCCTCTTCCTTTGTTATTGAAAATACAGAGCACTGAGTTTCCATTCAAACTTATTTACTTGGTACAAATGAACATATTTATGGTCAATTTAAGGAAGTGTACATGTAAAATAAATACGTTGGACGTTTAAAATTTTTAGGAAATATTTCTACAATTGGTTTCGACCTGGTGTAAACGAATTTGAATAACACTTGGGAATATGAAATCAGAGAGGTTCTAACCTATTTCTGTGTATATACAAATATACTCCTTATCAGCACCCATATCTTTCACGAAGGCGCTACATCAATATTAAAAATGCTTTTTTGTACTTCTCTAATTTCCGTTTTTTTTAATAGTTACAAAATATATATTTGTTATATATTTAGAATAAATGTTGAATCCGTGTAGAATTTCATATGCGCTGTTCCAATGCTGAAATATTGATATGAAACATAATCAAAGTTGATCACATGCATTTCGTTACCTTCAATTTCCCTTCTCTCTCTCTCTCTCTCTCTCTCTCTCTCTCTCTCTCTCTCTCTCTCTCTCTATAATGTGCATATGGCGCCAGGGTCAGGGGTTCTGGAGTTAGGGCGGAGCTCTAATGGTCATATGTAAAATTAAAACGCATACATTCTTTAAAAATCTTCTTTTCTACCCTTGTATATTATGCGGATAAACGAAGTGCATATGAAGCATTAAAAGTTTAAATCAGAAGTTTGAACTTATCTTCAATAAGTTTAAACTTTATATTTAAACTTTTAATGTTACACATATTTCTGATGAGCAAGGGTGCCTCTTCCAAAATTGTGAAATTTGTGGCCCCAGGGTCCGGAGTTCATGTTGTTTGTGAGGGGGGCTATATTGATTATGTAATGAAAATGAATTATTCTTTGAAAATCTTCTCTGCTCCTGGACATGTAGGAGTTAAACAGAATAAAAAGTTGCAAAAAAGTTTTGAAATTCTGGACCAATTGGTCAGATTGTTTGGTGCTGGGCAGGGCTCTTTCAATTTGTATTCTATTGAGTGAAGTTATTTCCTTTGCTATTCACCACTGTAAATAATGTAATATTTAAAGGTCGATTGAAGAAGAGAGAATTATTCAAATATATAATGCAAAAAGTACTTATAAAGTTTTTCAAGGTCAAGTAGATTGTAAATAATAGGTAAATAAAAAATGAGACAAAAATACCTTATCTTTTTACATTAAATATTCTTCAGAGACCAAGAGAGTCCAATAAGAAAGGTAATGATGTAAGTTTACTTATAGTGTTCATGTTTAGTTTGCATGGTAATAGTGACAAATTGCGGCAAGAAAATAGATCTGCTTTAAGATTTGTTATTAGTACTAGACTTAATATTTTGTTTATCCCTGATCATCCTATTTGTCTTTCTTTTTGACAAAATAGCTTCCTCTATCAGTTTATTTTGTTTTATTTTATTCTTATATGAATTCTTTACAATGTTGTAACTCCGGTGACCGTTACGTCCCTGGGGCCTCTTGTTTAATGTATCCTCGGTCTTTTTTAGGAAATAAGAATCCCGCTCATCAACTGATGCTTTGAGGCGAGGTTATTTGATGAAATAACTCAGTACTACATGCACGAGGAAAAGAAACTCTTGTTAATTTAGATACCCGATAAACAATAATTGTTTTATTATATTATATAATTCAATTATTAAATAATACAAACTCGTTAAGCAAACTTTGCCATCTTTCTTGGTTGTTGACAATTTTTTTTTTTTTTTTTTTTTTTTTTTTTTTTTTTTTTTTTGAAATCCTTGACGAATGTAGTGACATAAGAGGGATTTAAATGAACATAACCAGTGAAATTTTTTTTGGTCCAATTTTAAAAATAAAATTAACTGTGACGATTTAAATGTGTAATTTACATGTAGGGAGAGGGCGTAATAAGTTTTCAGAACTTTTGCCCAATCCCATTGTATTTATTAATTACAATAAAATATGTTCAAATCAAAAATAAAATTACGAGTTATTCGGTCGGGTGCAGGTGACCATGACTATCAATGAGGATGATCTCGGTCTATTTTTGGTGCAACGTTGAAAAAAAAATGCTATGCTCATCTGGAAAGTCTTGTGGAGGTAAACATGATTAGGTTCAGTTCTACAATATTGGATCTCAGCCAATCAGAGAGATAGGAATTATTAAATCATATTGGATCTCAGCCAATCAGAGAGCTAGGAATTATTAAATCATATTAAAAAAAACAAATTATATCAAAAGCAAAAGGTCACTTATGACCAAATATTTTGACCCGTACTGTGAACTGAAGCCACTCTGATAAACATTGTTTCAACTTGAATAGCATCTACTACGTGAAATATCAGTTTTTGAATACCCTTTTGATATCATTTTTCAGTTTGACAGTCGAAAGTACATAGAGCATACTGTTAATAATATATATAATACTATATGTAAAAAAACAAAAACTTAACATGTATGTAGAATGAACATACCATATTCCATTCTAAAGTTTAAAAGAAAAGAAAATATACATTTTTATTTAAAAAATGATAATTTACATGTAAATAACTATTGCTCATGTACAGTGATAGTTAATACTTGTTGTTCACTTGTTTGGAACACCAAAAGATAAAACCGTCTCTGCATCAGTTTGTCGTGTAAATCTATTGTTTCCTGAAAATTGGATACAGGTAAGAGGCAATGTAATCGGCCTTAGGAATTATCCGACTTCTAAAGGAATGTCAATTTTTCACGCCTTTTCTCAAGGAATTCCAGCCCACGATCTTTTACAACAGCTCTTTATTAACAATAAGGGTTGATTGTTTTTATAGCCCCCCCCCTTTTTTTCAACAGATATAATGTTGATGGAAGTTTAACACACTAGGTATGCATACTTTCAGATTGGTCTTCCAAATGTCAAGAAAACACGTTCCAGTTCATTTCCATTGCCATAATGGAGGTAAGAATTGGAAGATATCTCCCAGGCCAGTCCCAGCTGAGGTTGTCACTGATGATTACAAACTATAAACAAACTATAGCTATTATATTGACATAAGTTCCAATGATTTTATTAAATATTATTACGCGTATGTATCAGAACTAACAAGAAAATGTCTTTTAACATGCATTCAATTGTCAATGAGTGCATGACTATAATTTGTCCACTGACCATGAAGTGTATGGCAGCAGTTTCAAAATTCTCTCACACGTGGCTTGTCGAATCCCATGAAATGGATACTCCTGGAGCGACTGCTGGAAGGAGTACAAGGCTTCCTGGTAGTTTCCTGTTACCTGTTGACATATTCCGAGAATCTGCCAGGATATATCCCTAAACATCACAGGTACAGTCAATGGTTCATTTTGATAAATTAAGAGCTGCAAATCTTCTAACGCTTGTTTTCTACTGATTGCGTCAACATGCCTACAGCACAAGACCTCCAGCATTTGTAAAAATACAAATGGTGGAATGATCAAGAAGAAGTGCTTCATCTGAGAGCTCCCATGGCTTGTATCTTGTTCTCTACATAGTTCATCAATGTACAATATCCCATTATAAAGTTTAATGTTTTGTGCCATACATCTTCTAAACTTTTTGGACCAGGACTGTCCCCCTGCAGCTTCCATATATCTATCAGAAACTGAGTACGTATACGCTAAATATGGCTGCGAAAATTTAGCCTTTGTCATTCGCAACACAGCTAAAGCTTCTGCATATCTTTTGGTTTTGTAATAAAACAATGCAATGTACAACAGGTCAGACGTACACCCAATTTGTGCTGCCAATTTCAGCATATTACATGACAATTTGTCAATGATATATTTCTGTTTGTTTTCACCTGAGTTAGTGAACGTGTTGTGCAATATAAAAGCAGTTCTCTGAAGTACGGAGGCCGTAAGCTTTTGCAACATTAGGAAGTTATATTTTGTTAACGGTAAGGAAAGCAATTGTTCTGCAAAACGCAGATATTTCATACATATCTTTAGGTCTATAATGACAATTGAGTCCAGATTATACATCTCTCCAAACATCTGACAATCGAATTCAGTCTCGGAGATTACGCTCCGCTGATCTGTGCAAATGAAGACACCTGGATTGCAAAGAACACTCATGATATTAGACGTGATGGAGGCACAATGTAGCAAGCATGCATATCCTTTATTGTACATTACATATAATGCACGAAATAAATATGATTGTGCAGAGCCATTTATCTTTCCCAAAAACATGTTGTTTTGTGAAATGAAAAAGTTTGGACAAACTCCCTCATACACCCATTTAAGGATGAGTTTAAAACAGACCCAGAAACACTCCAGGAGATTTTGTGGACACCAGTAAGCTATTGTATTTTGTTGAAGCACCCAGAAAACAGCTGTCTTTACGTGATAGGAACACAGCAACTTTTCTTCATCACTTAATCCTTTGTTAATGACTTCTTTTAAGAATAATTTAAGCAAACCATAAGTTAAGAATTGACAGTGATCCATCGAATACACAAGTTTTCTTTCTGCAAGAGAGAAAGAAATTCTCCATTCCTTGTCTTCGTGATTTCCTGATTTGTGTCCGATTGCTGCAAAGTGACATCCCTGGTTAACTATGTCATAAACTACACGAGGCGGAGGCCATGCATGACATCTGTTTCTCCACAAAGATGCAGATGGGGGCCAAAAATCACAGGCAAAACAATGGGCACAGTCAAATTCTATTCCAAATCTGACTCCACTACCACAAGGTCCGTGCTGTGTTGAATTCGGAACAACCTCTGAACACATGTTCACTCTGTATTTTGAACTAGATAAGAACTCTCTGTTGTTTATTCTCAGCAATGATGATTCGATTTTTCTTTCGATTGTGGGTGTCAATAATTGTAGTAAAGCATACCCTGGTGGACTATCAGAACAGTCGGCGAGAATAACAGTCTGTCCATGATAAAAATGAGACTGACATAAATTCCAGACCACTTTGTGATCATCAGGCCAAAACATAGAATCCATGTCTGATCCGTGCATCCTGAAACCCTCGCTTTCACTTCCACTATACCTAATAAATGGTTTAATGCTTGTTTTCAAACGGTTGTATACAATCTCAAAGATGTCCATCATATCTCTCCTCATGGTCACAACTTGTGACGTCCCCACTATACGACAAAGTCCCATAAATACCGACTTCGATATTTCTTGTGCATGTGCTTCACTGTGGAAAAAGATTTTAAAAAACATGTTAATATTTTTGTATTTTTTTTAAACCAAGCTTTACAAAATATTATTAAAAATGTTCATACGTACCTGATTACATGCACTTGATTATACTTGGGTGAATCGGCCATCTCCTTGCCTGATACTATAAATAACTCATCCAAAAATCCAAGTATAGAAATAGCCTTTAGTCAAGCTGTTTGTAAACACTGTTAAGTTGAATGGCTGTGTTTCCTTTGGATGAATATTCATCATAGACTGTGGGATAAAATAACTGTAAACACTCGGTCATATATACGTACGACCGAGAAAAGGCTTAAACTGACCATCCAACTGTCCGTCTCTATCGTGCGACCAATGACGCATCGTGTAATCAACAAAACTAAGAAAGACAACTCTCCTAGCAGGTTCTGCTAAGATAAAGTCCACGGTAAATATTGACCCGGGCGTTTAAAACTCTTTGCTTGACAAAAGTTATCATTTACGTCTATGATTTTCTATTAAAGACCGATTCCAAGATTTACTTTCATAATTCAATGTCTTTTCCCCCCGTTTTTCATATCAAACAAATGTTTTGAATATACGGTTTTATTATGTGACGGAGTTATTCCTCGTTGACCAGAATCAAGTGAGGAAATTAGTTTAAAACTAATGAAAGTAGTTCATTTCGTCTTTCTCTAACTCTATCTACGTAGACTTACATGCATACTACTTGAAAAAAAAATACATTGAAAGTTAGAAAAGTATTGTGTGTATGTTTTTCGCTATCGAATAATTTTTTTTTTTTAATTAGGCCTTATATCCCCATGGTTACTTTTAATTAGGTATTATGTAATCTTCCGATCAGATTTATTATATCATTGATTTACAATGTCTAAGAATTTGAAAAAACTTAAAATTTAGATAAATGACACTTGTTCATTATCTATTGTAGATGTACTTTTGTCCGCTTGGGATTGATTTACACTATGACTACCAGGTATGTACGCGGTCACAAATTTTCCGCGGAAATTCACAATGTACTTAAACTATACATTAATATGACAAGAAAAACGGGTAATTTTCTTCCCGAGTAGAATAGAATATATGAATTTAGAGAAGATGGGGAGAGAATGTGTATAGATTTAAACATATTCAACTAACACAGTGTACGAGTAAGTGTATATTGTATAAGAATTAAATTGGATCAGTAGGATTTAGATAAATATTCAATTTTATCTTAAAGGTATCGTAATAAAAAGATAGAAATTAAATGATGATTTTAGCAAATAAAATGGAAAATAATTTTATGCACTCATACAATTTTGTTTTTAAAAAAGTAATCCTGCGTGTATGTGGTTCAAGAGATTCGCGACAATGCACACGCACAATCACACACGCACAGCGAAATGAATACCTATGTTTTCATGGCCGTAGGAACGGAGGGGGGGGGGGCACGGAGGGCAGTGCCCCCCCCCCCAATAATGTTGCCGATATATAGATTACTATAGTAAACATAGATACTATAAGCTTGTGCCCCCTCAATAAAAGCGGCTGATGACCTTTTTTTTTTTTTTTTTTTTTTGCTTGTCAGAAAATTTTTGGTAGTGCCCCCTCAACTGTCAACTAAAAAATGTTTGGTTGTGCCCCCCCAAACTGAAATTGCTTCCTACGGGCCTGGTTTTTCATTATAAAGTCATATGTGTTGCCGAATTAATTTTGTTCCGAACCCCAAAATTTTCTAGTTGTTTATTTTAGCTAATACATTCATTATACAGGTAGTTTAGAAAAAGAACGAGAAACCAGCGGACAAGACAATTCCAAGTTGTTTTTTCTCTGCTAGCGTTCACGGACGGATTGGCTTTGGGGTATGAAAATTTAAAGAAAAACAAAACTTACAAAAATTGTATCACTGTAAAATTTATTGGGATCGACATATCATTCTTCTTTTACATTCTTTTAAAGTTTTGTGGAAAATATTCGTTTATTAGGCTGTCCAAAGTTAATTCTTTGTTTAATTCTATGTCTAATGTCACACGCCCGAGTAGGTTTAAAACGATTTTAAGAAAAAAAATTCTATTTTCGAATTATTTCAGTATGGTTTTACTTTTTACTTACTTACAACCTTAAACTGCCTTCCATAGAAATAGACAATATTTGGGGCCATTCATGAAGTATATTTGGCATACTCTCTGAGGCTATCTTTTAAACTGACAGTAAAATTTAAAAAAAAAAAAAAAAAAAAAAAAAATCATTTAGTAATAAGCCTATGGCTATACAGGGTACATGTACTTTTTCTTTTCTTTTCTTTTCTTTTTTTTTTTTTTTTTTTTTTTTTTTTTTTTTTTTTTGACATTTTGATTTATGAAAATTTTGTTTGAAATTTTTGTTGTTAAAATTTTCCCCCTTCTTCCTAGGTGACTTACACATAGAATTAATTTCAGACAACCTTAGTTAATTTTGTTACGATATATAAAGGTTTTAAAATTTTAGGTGACTTACAGAATTAATTTCAGACAACCTTAGTTAATTTTGTTACAATATATAAAGAAAATATTCTCAAATGATAATTAACTTTACCAATATTGTATTTTTTCCGTTGGTCTGCGCTTTTCTTTCAGATAGAAAGATAAGTTTGAGTTTTGGATGGACACTTAACATAAACAAGAAGTCCAAGAGCCTTAACGGTCACCTGAATATAATACAACACTGTAAAGTATCCATAGAAGTACACAATTTTAAAAAAGTTATAGATGATGATAATATTTCCCAAAATTATGAGAAAAACGATGATAAGGGATCAGCAAAATAGTTAGTCTAGTACTCAGTAACAAATCATAATAAGCAGATTTTGCCTGTACTTGCCAGTGCTAATACACTTATGTGTTTTCACTATAAAATTGATATCAATAAAGCCCCACCCACCACCAGAACATTTAAGGTCAGGAATTTCACAATCTTGGAAGAGGCATCTTTGCACATCATAAACATACTTAGTTTATCTACTAAATACCTAAAGGCAGAGAAGAAGAGTTTTAAAGAATTTATGCATTTTCACTATATGAACAATAGAGTCCCGCCCTAACACCAGAAACCCTAACCAAGAGGCCAATGATTTCACAATTTGGAAAGTGGCATCCTTACTCATCATAACCATAAACTTAGATTGTCTGTTAAATACCCATGCAAGAGCAGAGAAGAAGATTCTCAAAGAAAAATGCACTTTTACAATGTGATCACCCTACAGGAACCCTGACCCAGGGGTCATGAATTTTAAAATCTGAATACTCAAGAGCAGAAAAAAACATTTTTAAAAAAAAAAGCATTTTAACTACGTTATCAATAGAGTCCCACCCTAATACCAGAACCTCTCACTCTGTTGCCATGAATTTCACAATTTTAACTTGAAGAGGCACGCTTGCTCATCATAACCATGCACTAAGTTTGTTCTCTCAATACACAGGAGCAGGGAAGATTTTCATATATATATATATATATATGTATATATATATATATATATATATATATATATATATATATATATATATATATATATATATATATATATATATATATATATATATTCATGCGTTTTTACAATGTTGTCAACATGGCCCTAACCTTACACCAGAACACCTAATCCAGGGGCCATGAATTTCACAATTAAGGAGGCATCCTTGCTCATCAAACCATGCATTTAATTTTTCTGTTTAATACCCAGGAGTGGAGAAGATTTTTAAAGAATTTATGCATTTTACTATATAATCAAAAGAGGCCCATCCTAACATCAGAATCCCTGACCAAGCGGCCAGGGACTTCATTATTTTGGCTAAGGCACCCTTGCTTATCATAATTATGCATTTAGTTTGTTTGCTTAATACCCAGGAGCAGAAAAAAGATTCTAACAGAAATAATGCATTCTCACAAGATAATCAATACATCCCCGTCTTCCCACCCTCACCCAACCCCAACAGAACTCCTGACCCAAGGGCCATGAAATTAACAATTTTGGAAGAGATACCCTTGCTCATCCTAACCATGCACTTGATTATCTACTAAATATCAATGAGCAGAAAAGATATTCAAAGAATTTATGCATTTTCACTATATAATCAAAAGAGCCCCGCTCTAGTACTAGAAATCATGACTAAGGGACCATGAAATTAACAATTTTGGAATAGGCATTCTTGCTCATCATAACTATGCACTACGTTTGTTTCCTAAATACCAAGGAGCTGAGATTAAGATTTTCAAAGAATTAATGCATTTTTCATTACATAATGAATACAGCCCACCACCAGAACTCCTGACCCAGAGGCCACTAATTTCACACTTTTGGAAAAGGCACTCTTGCTCATCATAACTATGCATGTAGTTTTTCTGCTCAATACACGGCAGAGAAGAAGATTTCTAAAGAATTTATGCATTTTCACTATATGATCTAAGAGCCACATCCTCCTTAACCTGGGGCCATGAATTTCAAAATTTTGGTAGAGGGCTCAATACATGGTTATTACAATTATGACAACATTTTGATGTCCAGGAATAAAGAGGAAGATATTTAAAGACAGCACTAATTTTGATGGTTTTAGCCCCACCCCTCAGCCACCGGGATGCGGAGACCATTTAATTCACAATTTTTGTTCCCCTTCACTCATATATATTATATGCCAAAATTGGTTTGAATTGGTTGAGCGGTTCTAGAGAAGAAGCTGAAAATATTCAAATGTTAACGTACGATGCGCATCGAACAAGGCACGACGGCGGACAAAAACAGATAGCAATAGGTCATCTTAGTTACTCAGGTGACCTTTAAACTGCCTCATCGTCAGATGTTAAACTCGGGTGAAAATGTAGCTGCAGCTCTAAAGCTCTTTGGTCTGAATACAATTCGGATGGACGACCAGAGAGCTACAATGCCACCAACTGAAATAAGATTAGTGTATATTTATTGGGTACTACTTCCCTAACAAAACAATATGAACATGTCATGCATG